ACTTGGGAGGCTGAGGCAGGAGACTCGCTTGAGCCCAGGAGTTGGAGGTTGCTGTGAGCTGTGATGCCACAGCACTCTACCCAGGGGTACAGCTTGAGGCTCTGTCTCAAAATAATAATAATAATAATAAATAAAATAAAACTTCTGCTCAAAAATCTTCGATGGCATTCCAGATTAATAATAAAAATTAATAAGGTAAAGAACTATCAAAGGTGCCTATGTGCTTCCTTGATGTTCCTAATCTCAGTAGGATATAGAATTTTCTGAAATTCTGTTGGCTGTAAGATCTTTTTTTTTTTAAGCAGTAATAAGCAGTGAGATAAGGCAGAATAAAAAAAATTGTGATATTTTCCTGGGAAGTGGAAAAGAAATCACCAGGAAAATACCAGACGAGATTAATAAACCAAAGAGGAAGAAGATCTCAACAATTAACTGAGACTAATAATTCCAATTCTGTGAGACAATCTGCTCTTAGAAAAACTTTGAAGCTATAAAGCTGATTCTTTGCCATGTTGATTTTAAAGCTATAGTTTATATAATGATGCATAACGATTTTCTCAAATAGATGGAGAACTGCTAACAAATAATTCCAAGTAATTTTTCAGTATTGTGTTCCATTTTGAAAATAAACAAATTATAGGAAATATCTGAAAAGAAGTAAATTCTTAGAAAGGGAGCATGTCAACTAACTAAGGATGATGCTCCCATCAGAGAAGGGTCCCCTCCAAGATGCAGGTCCCAGGGAAACTGCAGTGGGCTGCAGACTCTTCACGGTCCTGCCATGGCCTTAAGAGCTGAGGACTGGGGAGAAGCAGGTGGAACCTCCTGCTTGGAACCTTCTGGCTTTGGAGAGCTTTTCATACCTAGAAGTTGCACCAAAAGATCTGAGAAAACTGTCAGAGGCCCAAAGGGTATATGACCCTGGCTGGATGCAGGTATAGAAAGTACAGAAGGTGAGAATGACCTGCTTGGCCACCACCTGCTCCTCCAGCCCTTCTTACCCTAATGTCGTGGAAACTGTAGTAATCTGGGTTGTAGTATACTCAGGAGAATGGAAACTTGATAAATGGGATGGAAACTATCATTTAGGAACTAAAATAAATCACTGTTTGTGATTCTAAGTAATTTATACTGATTTTCAACTTTTGCATCCACTGTTACTCATCATTATTCATGTATGCAACATCCTAAATCTGCTTATAACTTCCAGTACTCAGTCAACTGAAAGTCTGATCCCAGATGGTGCTCACACTACTCTTCAAGTCTTAAGGTGCAAGATTAAGGTAATGTGCTTCACCCTCGGGGGTAAGGGAGGCTCTCAAGAGTCCGACTGAAAACCACACTGAATAACTGTCACTAGTCTACAGACTTCAGGCAAGTCATTGCCCAGTGATAACAAAGATATCCACACACAGAAACATGAACACTCAGAAAAAAAACTGGGCTTTCTACTTTTACACAATCTGAAAATCAAACTCCTAGAGCAAAATTTGGTTTGTGAAGCAAACTGAAAAGTTAAATCCAGTGATTAGGATGTGCTACGCCAGTCATTAAGTCCCAGCAGGGCCAAGTGCATATTTGTACAATCTCAGTACATCTCTTCCCCAGCCAGCAATTTTGTACATGTTGAAAACCCTATGTCGTAGATTTTCCTAATCTCGGGCTAAAAGGAAGTTTTGCTTTGATGCAACACAGCACTAAGCTGCCCCTTTTCTCTGTAAAAACCTCAACAATGGGTGGATAGGTACTCAAAAAAGTTATAATTACACTTGGGGATACTCAGAGATAAAAAGAACTGCACGTCACAATTGTGTGTGAGAAACCATTTTTTAAATACCTCCAATTGTATTTGATCTTTTCAATGGAGGTAAAAGACGACTACATATGACTGAATCATTTCCAGTATTACCAGATATTTGTTTAAATTCCTGCCTGTTCTTTCTGGAATTCCATATGGAATTTAGGCAATAGCTAAAAAGAAACTTTAAAAAGTAAATTTTCTAGCACTTTAATGTAGATTTTTGAATTCTAACAGATTTGCAGAATCGACATCATTAACAACTAACCAGATTTGGTCAAAATCCAACTTGTAAGAAAGGTACCATGTAAACACCAATTGCCAATAATAAGGTAATTTAACTTAAAAAAAAAAAAAAGTATCTTAGAAAAAGGACAGAACAGTCTTCATGGTATTGGCCAAAATACTAAGCCATGTCCTAGCAAACAATTCTTGAGAAATTATACCTCAGTAGCACAGAGCTTGACCATATACCCACCACCTCTCAGGTGTCTAAATATGTTAATAAGCTCTGCCCTCTATATACTTCCCAATGTTAACTGTCTAAATGGTATAGTTTTCTGAAGGAAAATAAATTGGCAGGGTTATAACTTAGGAGATTTCGATATTTACATAATCAATATAAGAAAACAGTAGAAAACACATTTTTGTACTACTAACCCACAAAACCTTTTCTATAATATTTACCACAAAAGCATTAGGGATTTTTTTATACCCCCAGTTCTGCTTTACCTAAAGAATAAAGTAATTCTTTACTCAGATATCACATTGTGAAACTCAGATTGAGATACATACAGCTACTAGAAGAGTCTGAACTTTGAGAGCCACGTTCCCTTGCATCCTTGTCCGAGGCAATTTGCCGGGTGATGATCACGTCTATGAAGTTAGCTGCAGTAATGGTAGTCTTCCCTCGGGTCCTTAGCTCTTCCTCATATCTGGATTTTGGAGGAGGCCCTTTATCTTTCCCAGCCTCAGAATAAACTACTGAAGAATGAGGCTGGGGCTTGCCACTTGGAAAGGCTGAAGAGGTGTATAGACACTGAACAGATCTCTTCTCCACCTCCAGGGTTTTCTGCTCTAGCTGCTGCTGTTCACTAACTGCAGCTGACCTGCTTCTCAAATTTTCTTCTAACCTGGCAGCTTCATGCTTACTCTCTTTTGTTTTGGAAACATCCATCTGGGGTGCAGAGGCTGCGGCATCCACAAGAGCAGCCAGGGCATCTGCAGCGGTGTTGTAACGGGAGGCTGGCAGGCCTTGGCTTATTGATGGGCCCCCAGCAGGCAGTGGCCTGTAAATAAAACGAAATCACAACTCTATGAAAGGAGATCATTTACTGAGGAATGTGGTGAGAGAAAAAGACTGCAAAAACAACAACAAAAAAAGGTTTAGAGGGCAGAAAAATATGACTATAAAAACTATAAGTCACAAATTTAAAAATGCACGTGCAAAGGACTGCCATTTTTTGTCAAAATATGTACAAAAGACTGACATGATGCGAAGCTGAGCAGTTGGATCCAAGGGTGTGATCACACTGGTTCCATTGGTTCCCTGGAAAACGCTGGGTCTTTGTTGCAACACGGTCTCCTGAGTTCTTACTGAAGGAGAAGGGGAACGAACATATCCATGACTACCAGGTCGGCCAGGCTGTTCTGAGCCTGCAGGGGCAAAAAGAAAAAGGAAGACAGACATGTCATAAGGAGGAAAGACAGAGACACAAACAAAAGGCAACAGCATTTATGGATTACTGATTTCCTAGTATTTCTAACAAGAAGAAAGGATAATGGGACAAGAAACTTGATATCCTATTTTCTAGCCTTTCTGGAAACATGCTCCCCAAGTTTCTCACTAAAGATGCAATACTACTGTCACCTACTGTCACTTCCACGATAGATTTCAATTCTGATTCCAGAAAGAGACAAAAAACATCAATGAAATCCTAATACAAATCAGGTAAGTTCATCTCTCAGATTTCCCCTCAAACTCTGGTGTGTTTATGATTTCCTAAATCAAATTTGGTACAACTTTCTAAGCATAATAATGAAAATAATATACCACACTTCTACCCCAGGGCGTGGGGCTGCTTCATAGTACCTTTCTCTGCTTTCTCTTTTGAAATGAAATCATTCAAACTGCCCTCCCACAGAGTCTGGCTCCAGTAACTACCCTTTTTTAATACTTGAAAACATTTTTGTTCAGTGAACTTTTCCTCTCTCATAACAAAGTCAGAGTTTAGATGTGGTCAGAACTACTTCACTCGGAGGATCCTGAACTCTTAGATACCCTGCCTACTCCCCTCTCACCCCATACTATTCTGTGCCCTCACTTCAACTTTCTAATATGCTCTTTGGTTTCAGAATAGCTGGCAGTTTTAGCATACCACCCTATTTTCACAGCTAACCCACCTCAACCAGGCTTCTCAACAAATTTCTCCCTACTGATCATTCATCAGCTTATATTAGGATTTCTATAGGATATACTCCCAGATGTGGAATTGCTAGATCAAGGAGCATTAAAAATATTTATCTCCAAAACAGCAACAGCTTCAATTCAAACTGCCACTGCCCTAGGGTGCTCCAACATGGAATATTTATCAACATTTTAAAATAAATGTCTGATACAGAAAAATGGTATCTTATTGTCTTAAATTGGTAGTTTTACATTAGTAAGATCACAAGCATTTAAAAAATCTAGTTCTCACCAAAGTTATGTATCACTTATATAAGACTTTTTGAAAATTAAATCACTTTTCCATGTTTTTATGTGGTCAACATGGAATGATATTATGGTGCCTCAGAATTCATTAAAGCATTTCCTATAGTCAGATTCTCAGTGGCTTTTATTATATATGGATAATAGGTTACCTCTAAAGGTGTTTGTGCTTTGCAACCACTGAATTATTTACGGTAAACCCTGGGAATATTTTTGGATTAAATATGATAACTAGCTTTTGGGGTCCTTCCATATACTGCAAACCACACTGATGTCAAAGGCCAGGCGTCCCATGACAACATGAACGTGCCGACTCCCTGTCACTGCGCCTTTCCATGTTGTACCTGCCTCTCTGACCATATCTCTGCTTTCTTTGACCTCCACCTGGAGCAGCCCTCTTGGCAACATCTTAAGACTGACCTACTCCTTTTTTCACAGTGTTGCCCCCAGAAACCTCATTCAAGCTAAAGTTTCAACTCTGGCAGGTTAACTCCTAAGTCAACACATCTAAGCTCTTTTATCCTGAGTATCAGATTAGAAGATCTGACAATACGTACATGGTCAATAATTTAATTTAATTGAAAGAAGTGAAAAGGGTAATAAGCACACCATGGATAAGAATAGATGGCTCAAAGACATATCAACTTCAGTTGAGAATCCAAAATTTGAAATCCAATATTTTTTTTTCAGACAGAGTCTCACTCTCTTGCCTACGCTAGAGTGCAGTGGCATCCTCCTACCTCAGCCTTCCAAGTAGCTGGGGCTAGAAGTGCCCACCACAACACCTGGCTAATTTTTCTATTTTTAGTAGAAATGAGGTAATCACTCTTACTGAGGCTGGTCTCAAGCTCCTGAGCTCAAGGGATCCTCCTGCCCTAGCCTCCCAGACACCATGCCTGGCCTCCAAACTTTCTGAGTGCCAATGTTACACTCGAAGGAAATGCTCACAGAAACAGGTGCCATCTCATTGAAACAGTTCAACTTTCCTGTTTTTGGATTAGAGATGGTCAAATGGTATAATGCAAATATTACAAAATCTGAAAAAAAATCCTGATCCCATGCACATTGGATAAAGAATATTTATCCTCAGCTTGGCGCCTGTGGCTCAGTGAGTAGGGCACTGGCCACATACACCAAAGCTGGCGGGTTCAAGCCCAGCCCAGGCCAGCTAAACAACAATGACAACTGCAACCAAAAAATAGCCAGCGTTGTGGCGGGTACCTGTAGTCCCAGCTACTCAGGAGGCTGAGGCAAGAGAATTGCTTAAAATCCAAGAGTTGGCAGTTGCTATGAGCTGTGACACCACAGCACTATACTGAGAGTGACATAGTGAGACCCTATTTAAAAAAAAAAAAAAATCCATCCTCTATGTTCAAAATAACTATCATTATCTCCATGCTCTCACTGTTCATTCTCCACTGTAACTGCATAGCAATCTTGTTTCTTTTCTTTTCTTTTTTTTTTTTTGTAAAGCACTCTTATTTTTTTAATTTTAATTTTTTATTTCATATTGATAGAAGGGTGCAAATTGTTTTTTTTTCAGTTTTGACTGGAGCAGGGCATTAACCCGCCACCCCCAGTATATGGGACTGGTGCCCTACTCCTTGAGCCACAGGCGCCACCCGGCAATCTTGTTACCTGTCTCTTCCTCACCCCCTATTTTCTAGTACTGTGAGGTACCTTTTATTCTATTTTCCTGTTCTTCCCAGCAGTTCTTTTCTGGCCATTCCCAGTGTCAAAACACTACTATTTCGGGCTGCCATTAGCATGCACATCAACTACTGAGAGTCTCACTGGCTTTCTGGCACCAGTCACACCCTCCTCGAGTGTTCAAATCTGTCTCATGCCACTCTTGTGTAAATGTCCCTCAGACACAATGGCAGTATCTCACTGTAACTCACACACCCTGCCAGCCACACTTTCCATTCTTTAAGTTCCAAGTCAGCAACACCTTCATACACACCTAGGAGTCTTTGCTCAGGTTGTGCTTTTGGTTGCAAGAATTCTGTCCCTGCCTATAGCCAACTTCTTGGGCTAAATCGAAATGATAGTTTAATCATGAAAATTACATTTTTTCCACATAATATTCATCTTACCACCATCTCAACGGCTATAGCACTTTCCCCTATTTTTGTTTTTTTAAGTTTAGGTTGCTATGAGGGTACAATTAGGGTACAATGTTTGCATTTGTTCAGTAAAGCCCCTGTAGTTGTACCCTGCACCCAGGAGGTGTGCCATACACCCTTATATTGTGCCTGCTAGGTGGGAGCTCACCAATCCCCCACCCACCTTCCCCCAACATGAATTAAATTAACTTTTTCTCTTTTCTGTTCTTTTGATACTTTTTTTTTTCCTTTTTTTTTTGAGACAGAGCCTCAAGCGTCGCTCTGGGTAGAGTGCCGTGGTATCACAGCTCCCAGCAACCTCCAACTCTTGGGATCAAGCGATTCTCCTGCCTCCACTTCCCAAGTAGCTGTGACCACAGGCACCCACCACAATGCCTGGCTAATTTTTTCTTTTTTTTTTTTAGGTGGTAGCTGTCATTGTTTGGCGGGCCCGGGCTGGATGTGAACCCACCAGCTCAGGTGTATGTGGCTGGTGCCTTAGCCACTTGAGCCACAGATGCCGAGCCCGTTCTTTTGATACTTTATAAGAATGTATTTTAACCATCTAGGTTAACACAAAAGATGTAAAGTCTCCACCTGTTTTTACAGCTGAATAGTATACCATGGTATATACATACACTACAGTTTATTAATCCATTCCTGGGTTATGGCTTTTTATCTTAGAATTTTTGTTTATACCCACTGCACCACTAAACATAATGCCCCACCAAACTAGATCACTAAGATCTAGATGCAGGATGGAGGAACAGAGTCTTTCACTGACCTGGCCGCAGATAAAGATCAGAGGAAGCTGCAGCAATCCGTTCCCGCTCTTTCTCCCGCTCTCGTTCCCGTTCCCTCTCAGCATTTGCAGCTGCTGCAAGGTGAGTTGGGTGCCCTGTAAAAGACGAGAATCTGAAACTTAAGAGACCAAAATGTCAATCTAGCAGGTCTATCAAATACTGAAATTCATAAGTGACTGAAAATTTTTCAAAAAGCTTCAAATATGGGACGTAGGAAATTTGTTTTATTTAGTCTTGAGTTGGCTACGGTGGCTCACACCTGGAACCTGAACACTCTGGGTGGCTGAGGTGGGTGGATCTCCTGAGCTCAGGAGTTCGAGACCAGCCTGAGCAAGATGAGATGCCATCTCTACTAAAATAGAAAAACTAGTCGTGCACTGTAGCAGATGCCTGTAGTCCTAGCTGCTCAGAAGGCTAACACAAGAGAAGTTCTTGAGCCCAACAGTCTGAGGTTGCTGTGAGCTATGATGATACCATGGCACTTTATCCAGGGCAACCAAGTGAGAATCTATTTCAAAAAAAAGTCTTGGATAACAAGTGGAGCATAATGAAAGCTTTTAGGGCATTTCAACAGTATCTAGTGACAGCTGGCACACAGGAACTATTACTAAATGTTAAAAATGATAGACCATAGTCTGCTATGGAATTAGAGTAAATAAACAAAAAGACCCACAAAAAAAACCATAAAAGACTAAATGAGAAAAACCCACCCCAAATACCGCAAAAGGCTACGTTATAAAAACTCATGCATGATTATAGAATCTTACCTGGAGACATGGAAGCAGAGTTGTATGGCCTGGGAGGGAAAGTAATCTGTGTACCAGGAATATACGTGATTCTGTCCATGGGAGGAGTACTTGTTCCCCCTGGATGAGGCACTAGAATTGTCGGAGGCATATTGGTCAGGTCAATGATTCCTATCCAAAACATAAATGCAATTTATGTTAAGTGTTACTCTAAAGGTACAAAACTATACATCATTTTTAGATTTTTCTATTTCTTTAATCCAATGATAACTTATATGTAATATAAATAAGAATGATGAAGATTATCCTTACTTTTTAAATCTAGACCTTTAAATCTAGAGAAGGATGTTAAATAAATACTAAGCTCTACAGCAGTAACCTCAAACAAAGTATGGACAAATTATAGGCAGCAAACTGGTAGACCATGAATTTCAAATACCACAATGATTTGGTTTTAGTTATTTCAGTGTTCATCAAAATACTTTGTCTCAACACATTACTTTGTTTTTGCTTCTAAGGACTAAAGTCAATGGGGAAAAGACCACAGCATTCTTTTCTTACTTTCCATCAATCATTCAACAAGCAAATATTAAGTACTCCAAGAAACATTGGATAAACAATAAACTCTATGAAATCTGAACCGCAGAGACACACACCTCTTGTTGCTGGGTATGGGAGACCCAGTGGCTGCTCTCTTGGGGAAAGCCCTCTGGCTACATCCGGGCGCAAATTCACTTGCATCTGCTGTGAGGTAATATAATCATTCAGGATTGTCTGCCTTGTGTTCTCCATTGCGTAAAGCTGATACTGACTCGGGTAACCTGGAGTTGGTGAAAGCTGTCTCTGAAACAGGTAAGCAGCAGCTGCTGCGTGAGAAAATGAAAGAAAGGTATTGAGTTTTGTTCTGAGTGAAATTTATCTGCTAAACATCGCACCGAAAAAGGAAAGGGAAAATTATCTATTGAGCTAGTGCACAAAAGCTAGTGCTTTTACTCAGCTACAAGGATTAAGGTGGATTCACTGCAGACCTTGATAAATTAGCAATATAAATTCTAAGTAACATCTGAGATGCAATGGAAAAGGCGAAAGAACAGTAGCTAAAAATTTCTTAATTAGTTTCATTTTTCGTCTTTGATATGTCACTTTATATGAATATTTTCATCTGAAATCCCTAAGAATTGTGTTTGCAGATAAAATCATTTATAGTACTGATCATCCAACACAACCAGTGGAAATGTATATGAAAACACTTTGTGACCAGCAGTAACTTTGCCTTCCTGGGGGTGAAAAGGATTAACTTATGAGCCTTTAATTCATACATGTGTCTGGAGCAGAGATTGGCATATTTTTACTATAAAGAGCCAGAGAGTAAATATTTTAGGCTTTGTGAGCTGTATAGTATCTATAACTGTAGTATAATTAACTCTGCCATTATAGAACAAAAGAAGCTACGGACAAATCAAATAAATGGGTGTGGCTGTGTTCCAATAAAACTTTGGAACTATTGGGTGGCAGTAGGATTTAACCAACAAGATGTAGTTTGGCAACCCCTAGATTAGAACATGACACAAGATGCTAGGATGGGGTAACGCAGTAAAAAGAATATAATGTCTCCATCCTCAAAACACTCACAATCTAGCTCAGGCTTGAAAATGCTACAAAACAAAGGACTACAATAAACACTAAACAAATTATAAATATTCAATATTAAGAATCAGAGTGCAATATTTTGCATATATAGTAGAACCTCCATAGTTGACCACTTCCCTATACTGACCACTTCCTTAAATTGGCCTAATTTTCATAGACAAGACACACACCACATGTACATATCAATACAGTAGGCCTAGTTCTTTATGTTGGCCACCTCTGTATGTTGGCCGGTTTGTTACAGTTTCTTGGGTGGTCACCTCACAAAGGTTCTACTGTATATGTTTTCCCTAGAAAAACAAATAACATGCTTTCTGGAACATTTACTTCCCACTCATCTAGAACTCGTAGCAGCTAAGTCTGTCAGCTGACTCTGCCTCAGTCTAGGAGACAGTGCCCTCAATACTGGGTTTGAGCTCCAATACTTAATGTTTGCAAGTGGCAAATAATTTGATACCATTGACAGAGTTTTGAGATAAAATATTTTCTACAAGTACTTTGCTACTATGAAATGTAAATAACCTTTAGAGATCTTAGTTTTTACTTTGGCACACTGGTAATGAAAAATACTTCCCTAAGGACCGAGGTGAGACACAATGTTCTGTGACCTTTTTTAACCTGAAGCATGTAATAAGCAAAGAGTTCTGAGCAGGAAACACACATATCTGACTGAGGCTCACGAGAAACAGGAAAGAAGAGAGAGGACGCGGCCCTGGGAGGAAAAGGTGGAGTCGGTCCTGCAGTGGATCAGGACAGCCCAGAAGAGATTCTCTTTACCCACCTGCTGCTGTGATCTCTCCTATCCTCTCCCTGCACAGAACAGACTGCTGTCTAGTAACCTGCAGACTTCTGTACCTCCCAGAATTCTATCTACCAACATCAGTGGTGTTCAAATTTCTTCTAACCGTACTTGTTACTGGAACTATGTAACTTCAAGAAATAATCTGTAAATTAGTAAATAAGGAACAAAGAGTCATTCCTCTGAAAACTAAGTTGACTTGCCTTGGAAAGACTCAATACAGAAGTTGAATCAAGTGTGGATAGACACTTTAACAGACTAAAGAAATCTAGAAGGCTTCTGCGTTTAAGTTTTGCTGGGACACAGCCACAGTCATTCACTTATGTTTGTTTGTTTGTTTGTGTAAAAACAGATACAGGGTCTCACTCGGCCAAAGTGACCCCTCGGCCAGGGTCTCACCAGGCCCAAGGTGGTCTTGAACTCCTGGGCTCAAGGAATCCTCCTGCCTCATCCTCCTGAGTAGCCTGGATGACAGGCACAAGCCACTGCACCTTGCCTGAATTCTGTATTTAGTCTGCTTGAAAGCGTCTTTAAATTCCAGCTTCACTTTAAAACAAACAAAAAATACCGAATCTTTTTTTACTGTAAGACAGATGATAGTGAGGTTTAATCAACAGTCTATGAAAAGGCCTTTGCCTTAGATGAGAACACTAGTAAATGAATAAATGTCTACTTATGTTGTAAAGTAACATGTTTAAGATAGTATCTGCCATTTTAAAATAATTCTTCACATTAACCCACTTTTCTCCTTTTCTTTCTTTCTTTTTTTTAAGACACTGTCTATGTCACTCTGGGTAGAGTGCTGTGGCATCACAGCTCACAGCAACCTCAAACTCTTGGGCTTCAGTGATTCTCTTGCCTCAACCTCCCAAGTAGCTGGGACTACAGGCGCCCACCACAATGCCCAGCTATTTTTTGGTTGCAGCTGTCATTGTTGTTTAGCTGGCCCACGCTGGGTTTGAACCCACCACCTTTGGTGTATGTGGCTGGCACTGCAACCACTGTGCTATGGGCACTGAGCCTAACCCACTTTTTTTCAATTGGCTTCTCCAATTTCCATCAGTTAAGAGGGCTTTTCACATACCCATCATTGTTAGTTCTTTCAAGCAGTGCTGATAACGTGCACTAATGATAAGTACAATTGTCTGCATATTGTATTATAACAGAAAGCTTGAAAGTCATACAAGTGATTATATCTCTGTCATAAATTGCTACTATATTTCATGCTTACCAGGATCCAGAGCCCTGTGAAAGGGCATGGCTGGATCCAAGTGTGTGGGGAGGTGGCTTCGATAAACCTCTCCTGCAGCGCTGCCTCTATGATGGGACTCAAACGGGCTATGACTCACGACAGGATCCACCCCGGGTACTGGAGACTTTGCTGGTATACTTTCTCTTTGAGTAGGTGTCAATGTGGATTTCCTTTCATGATTGTTAGATTTGCTAGAAGAAATCGTAACTGGAATAAGAGAGCCAAGGCCACAAACTTAACAAAATGTGAAAGTATGATAGCATTTATCTATTTCTCAACCATAATTGTAAACTATTTTGATCTTTTCTGTGCCCTAAACATTTAACATTTAACATAACATTTTCAATCATTCAAAATATGCCAATGTGAGGAGCTAAGGGTGACTGCCACCTTTTGGATTATAGTACCAGTATTTTATGTAGTACCACCCTATATCAGATTAAAAATGAAGCTCAATGCTTCCCTATAAATCCCATTATGAGTGATTTTTTCTGTATGACTTTAACTTTCTAAAGTTAAAGTTCCCCAACCTCCTTGCTCTCTGCCAATTTTTTCCCCTTCACTAATTTTTTCCTTACTCTGTTCTTCCACAATAACTTTCTCATTATCACGCCTTTATTATCTACTCCCTATTTCAGCCTCTCCTTTTCCAAACAATGTTATTCAGTGGTCAGACTGTTCTACTAATGCCCAACATATCCAAACACCAGACATCACCCTCAATGTTTAAAATTGTGGTAAAATATATGTAACATAAAATTTACCATTTCAGCCATCTTTAAAGGGTATAGTTCAGTGATATTAAATACAGCCATGAGAGTTCTGTAACCATCACCACCGTCTAATTACTAATATTTTTAATAATAGGAACTTGATGATGACCAAACGTTATCTACCTATCAAAACCAAGAAATCGTGTCGGCTTATGATACCCCCCTTCCAAGTCCCAAGCTGCTCAAATGTGGAGCTTATCCCTCTGTAGGGCAGTTCTTCTCCTTTGAAACTAAAGTCAAAAGAATTTGGATTCATTACCCTATCCACAAGGAGACACTTCCCCTGTGGTATACCTCTCAGAATAATCTTCAACACCTCACAATACTCTTCAATATTATAACCTGCATATTGTATAGCCTAGGACCTTGCATGTGACCCCTCAATGAATATGTATTACAATAAAATTAAAAATGATAAGTAGATATATTTTTAAGGGCCTCAGATTGTTTCAGGGATCACCTGGTAAGAATTAATTCCTCTCACCTTACTCACATAGTTACCGACAGGATGGGGTAATGATGATAACAATAATAACAACACCAGCACAGCAACAATAACAATTCACATTTATGGAGCACTTCACGAACACCAGGCACTACTGCAGGTTCTTAAACATACTACTCCATTTTATCTTCTCAACAGTCCAGTGAAGTAGGTCTTAATATTACACTACCATGTTACGGTTAAGAGAACTAAGGCATAGAAAACATAAGTAATTTGTCCAAGTTTATGCAGTAAGAACTCTAATTCAAGTCTAAGAAGTCTGGCTCCACAGAGCCTATGTTCTCACTGCCTCTACACAAACTGTCCAAACTGACTTCCAGGAGGCCTTACATAATTAGCTGAAAATCCACTCTAAAAATACACCTAATTCTCAAGCGTAGTCTGTGCTTCATTTAAATATGAAATATTTACCTGAAATTATGCCTACTTTTAAGGTGTGGTGCACCACAGGCCGCACAGTCTATAGATCCTGTGATAACGCAAAGTTGGAAATTTAATTTTAAACTGCAATAAAAATGACTAGACCAGGAAACAAAAGTAACCTACCATCAGAAGTTCTGTTCATCATGGGTGAGCCTCTGGACATGGTGCTCTGATAACTCACAGGGGTCCTCCGGGCACTGCTATCATCGTAAATGCCTGGGCTCAGCTGTGCTTTCGGAGCTTCATGAAGTGTGGACCTCAGAACCGAGGGGCCAGAGCTTACCACAGACGTGTGTCGGGAACGTACAGGCTCACCTGTTTTTACATCTTCATATTTTCCCCGTTCTACCACTTTTATGTTCTCTGGCACAATCTCCAGTGGAGGCATTCCACGGGGTATTTTACTAGGCCCCGTGATTAAGGATTTCACATTGTGTTTGATAGCAGATTGACCTGAGTTGCTGTCAAACTTTATTGGTGTGCCCTATAGGGAAAGAAACAAACATTAGTGGAGGTAGCAAAGTTTTAGGGCTATTTTACCATCTCACTCTAGGTCTGGCCCATGGCAGTTCTAGTTTGCCATGGTGCCTTTTGCTCAATCTGTGGGGCATCTCAATCGCAAACTCCCAGATCCTAGGCTGTATACTTGCCCACATGACATACTCCATGCTACAGACACAAAAAGAACCAAACTGATAATGTAGAACACATAAAACTTTCATGTTTATTCCCAAGCAGTCTGACATCCTAAGAACGACTTAAAATTCCTAAGTCATGTTTTCTAAAAAGTTCCATAAATATCAGCATGAACAGGAACTGCTGACAAAGAGCCAGAATCTGCTTACCTGGGAAATGGAACCTTCAATTATTGGCCTTGTACTTTGGACCACTTCTGGAGTTTTTCGACTTTCCTGAGTTAAAATATCTTGCCGTGGAATCTCATGAATGGAACGCCCCATTTCTTTGATGGTGGTAATGCCATCATATGGTTTTCCTTTGGTAATGGCACCTTCAAATGCTCGTATGGGAGGACTTTCCCTTTTAATCTGTTTGGGATATTTAAGGCCATCTTCAAAACTTTCAGTTGTTGCTCTTGGTGTGCCTTGAAAAAGAATTTAGTAGACATATTTCTTAAAATAATGCTGATGGGCCGAGCGCAGTGGCTCATGCCTGTAATCCTACCACTCTGGGAGCCTGAGACGAGTGGATTGCCTGAGCTCACAGTTTTGAGACTAGCCTGAGCAAGAGCAAGACCTTATCTCTAAAAAATAGCGTGGCATTGTGGCGGGAGCCTGTAGTCCCATCTACTTGGGAGGCTGAGGCAAGAAAATCGCTTCAGCCCAAGAGTTTGAGGTTGCTGTGAGCTGTGATGCAACAGCACTCTACTGAGAGTGACAAAATTAGATTCTTTCTCAAAAAAATAAATAAATAAATAAATAAAACAATGCTGATGGCTGCACAATGCCACTGGACACAGTACTCCTAAAAATGGTAAAAATGATAAATTTTATTACATATATTTTACTGTTATTTAAAATAATTAATGTGGGTGGCACCTGTGGCTCACTGAGTAGGGCGCCAGCCCCATACACTGAGTGTGGTGGGTTCGAACCTGGCCCTGGCCAAACTGTAACAAAAAATAGCCAGTTGTTGTGGCGGGCACCTGTAGTCCCAGCTACTCAGAAGGCTGAGGCAAGAGAATTGCCTACACCCAAGAGCTAGAGGTTGCTGTGAGCTGTGACACAACGGCACTCTACCCAGGGTGACAGCTTGAGACTTTGTCTCAAAAATAAATAAAATAATTAATGCATTGCCATCTTGTAGTTTCTAATCAATTTTGTTTATAGTAGATCCGCAAGTACTAATCAATTATTTTTTTATGGTTGTTTAAGATACATATTATTCATCACAGTCACAGAATGGTTTTACATGAGAAAAAGACGTCTCTCATGATTGGGTAACCATCATCTTCCAATAAACTATGTAGCTCAGATGCAGAAGAGTAATAATCAAGACTTTACTATTTCTTTTTTTTTAAACAGGAATCTCACTATGTTGTCCTCCATAGAGTGCCGTAGTGTCACAGCTCACAGAAACCTCAAACTCTTAGGCTAAAATGATTCTCTTGCCTCAGCCTCCCAAGTAGCTGGGACTATACGTGCCTGACACAATGGCTGGCTATTTTTTGTGTTGTGGTTGTCATTGCTGTTTAGCAGGCCCAGGCCGGATTTAAACCCGCCTGCTTTGGTGTATGTGGCTGGCGCCCTAACCGCTGAGATATGGGCGCCAAGACAATATTTAATATTTCAAAAGAGAAAGTATCTTATTATGTCAAACTTTTTCAGTGAGGTGGTTAATAAAGAAAAAGAAAAAATAAGCAGAAAGTTTACCTTGCATTATGGAGCCAGACAGCACAGTCCTTTCTTTGAGGTCAGAATGAGGACTCCCCCTAGGTAATGCTCGGCATATCAGCCCTTTTCAAACAAGAAAAGAATTCAATTATTAAATACAATGTACACATCAATTCACACACACTTAATATTGCCTTTAGTGTATATATTTTTGATAAAAGCTCTATGGAAGAAGAGAGGCCAATTTAAATTTGTGAACTATCCAAAGAATATCATGGGAAAAACAAAAGTTGAAAGCATCTAATATATGCTTTATCAAAGAGAGAGAAGATAATGGCATTGGAAATCACTGTTTAGCTCTGAAATAAGCCTGTGAAAAAGGAAAACATGAAATATGGATATCACAAAGATAGGAAAATACATTAAATAAAACTTGCAAATTAAAACAAAAGAGTTGTAAATAACCTCTTGAGAAGTTTTAAATTATAGTGCCAATAAATACTAATACAAAGGGTTAGAAATATCCACATACATTTACCCTGAAGGTGAGTTTTTTAATATAAAGAAAATTTAGCTCTAAGAAAACTAGATAGGAATTATGCTTCTTTTAGTATTTCAAATAGATTAAAATTAGTTAAGTCAGATTAAGATTTAAAGAAAATAAGTCATTAACAAAACAAAACCATAGGCTTAGCTCCTGTAGCTCAAGCGGCTAAGGCACCAGCCACATACACCAGAGCTGGCAGGTTCGAATCCAGCCCAGGCCTGCCAAACAACAATGATAACTACAACCAAA